TCCTCCTGCCAGGTGGGTCTTGCGGTGCGCTTTCCTGGGAGGGGTGACTGTGCCGCGCAGGGCTTCGTATGAGAGCCAGCCTGTCTGATCTTCCAGGTCTCCTCATCACGTGCCACACCGCCAAGATCCAGCTGCCAGAGGGGTTTCGGAAAGAGATGGTGCGCTATCTGCGTTCTGTGCAGCTCCCGGATGGAGGATGGGGCTTGTGAGTAGCAAAGATGATGCTTTTAGTGATGGCACCTCCACGGTCCAGCCGTTGGAGCTGCTGTCAAATGTGCCCAGGCTTGGGGAGTGGGACTTGGCAACTGTCATACCTCTGGGTGGTTGGACTTGCTTGTGTAGCACTCCAGGCATACCTTTTGTCACAGAGGTGGCTGGAGCATCAGGTCTGGCTGCATCTCCTCTTTGGTGCTATATCCCAAAGCATCATATGCAACAGGGTAGTGCAGAGCAATGTTTCTTCCTGGGTTAGTTGAGTCTCCCCTTTTCCACAGTCACCCCTGGCATCCCACTTCACCCCAACAAAGACCCCAACCCCCTGTGCAGTGTTTTATGTCTGGCTAATGGTAATAACTGGCTAAAGGCTACACCATCTCTGTGTATGCACGACAGGCATGTGGAAGACAAATCAACGGTGTTTGGCACAGCACTCAACTACGTAGCCCTGAGGATCCTGGGGCTTGGACCAGATGACCCTGACGTTGTGCGGGCACGTGTCAACCTGCACAGCAAAGGTCAGCTCTGTTGTGCCCAGCACAGCAGCTGTGGGGCTGGTACACTGGTGGGAGAGGTCTGACTGGACCTGAGGGCAGTGTGAAACATGGAGGGCTGCCTGGTAGTGGAAGACCTGTTGATCTTGCTTGCCCTTGATGCCACATGCATTTTCAATTAATGATGGGAAAGCGTGTTACATTTTTGTACCATTGCCTGCTTGCCCTTTTTCATGTCCCTTTTGGCGTGCTCCCAAACATGGGGATAAGTGGACCCTGCAATGGGGAAGAAAACAGGGAGCTGGCATGGTTGTGTTAACCCTGAAAGCAGATATTGGTCTCTGCAGGAGGTGCTGTGGGAATCCCTTCGTGGGGGAAGTTTTGGCTGGCTGTCTTGAACGTTTACAGCTGGGAGGGAATGAACACGCTTCTCCCAGAGATGTGGTATGTGCCGCCCTTGATGTGGAGGTAGGGGTGTCATCAGTCCTGCCACCAGTCTCAACCCAGAGCTGTCCCAGGCGCTGGTGTTTGCTGGGATAACTCCAGCTGTGGCCTGGAACTGGGGGTGCTCAGGCTGCTTGTCAGCTGGGAGACCAGAGCAAGGCCAACCAGTGGGTGGATAGCACTGAACACTGTGCCACAGGGAGATGCCAGAGCTCAGCCCTGTTAGCTTTACCCATGGGCTCCCTGATACATCTGTGTGCTCCCTGCCTGCCACCAGTATCTTCTGCTCTTGTGGCCAGCCAGAACTGGCCCTAGCAGGACAGGACAGCCACATGTCAGGCTGCCAGCTCTAACCCTCACTTGTATCCTCTCTGATCACTCAGAGGGCCGCTGGGTGTCAGAGAGGGAAAGTGTCATACTGGGGGAAATCAGGGCTACACAGTACCAAGGGCTGCTGGTGCTTTGTCATCAAGTGCTCTTAACCATCAGTCTGGGCCTCTGCCTTCAGAGTCACATGGGGAGGAGTGGGGCCCCTGAACTGACTGGCCCTCCTTCCTCTCTTGAGATTCTCCCTGCCCTGTGTCAGCTGGGCCAGGAGCAGTGTCTGCTGGCCCTGGTCGGAAGGGAGCAGCCCTCTTGGGGAGGATATTCCCTTCTTTTCCGCTGCAACTGTACCAGCAGCAGCAGGCCTGGTACAGAGGATAGGGAAAGGCGCACCTGGCTCCGGGCATCCCCCTGTCAGCACACGTCTCTCCGTGCTGCCCTTGGCCCTCGTTGTTCCTCACAGTAGCACCTTCTCTATTGCAAACAGGCTGCTTCCTACATGGTTCCCAGCCCACCCGTCCCGGCTCTGGTGTCACTGCCGCCAGGTTTACCTCCCCATGAGCTACTGTTACGCCAGGCGTCTGTCAGCAGAAGAGGACGAGCTCATACGGAGCTTGCGGCAGGTAAGGAGCTGACCCTGCTGGGGCTCCCCAACAAGGAAACGTGGCTTCCAGACCACCTGCTCTGCCAGCTATATCCTTGTGGGCCAGCCTCTGGCTTGTGAAGTGACCACTCTCATACCTGCACAGTCTCTCTGTCCAGGCAGTGGAGACAGCTTTCAGCAGTAAGTTGCCTCTGGCTGCTTGCTCCCAGCTTGCCAGGCTGATGCCCGTTGTTATCTTGTGCCAGGAGCTGTACGTGCAAGACTACGCCAGCATAGACTGGCCAGCTCAGAGGAACAATGTGGCTGCCTGTGATGTGTACACCCCACACAGCTGGCTGCTGGGGGGTGCCTGTGGGGAGGGTGGTGGGGAGAACCCCGCCAG